GGGAGGGTGGGGTATCGGAAAGAGGGAGGAAATGAGGGAGGGTGGGGTATCGGAAAGAGGGAGGAAATGAGGGAGGGTGGGGTATCGGAAAGAGGCAGAAGCAGGGGAAAAAGATTTTGGAATTTTGAGAGGAAGCAAACAGGTTTAAGATCCTTTGCGTTGTATTGTAGGAAATAGGCAGAGACAGAAAGCTGGATGAGGAAAGGAGCAGGAGGAGTGCAGGAGCAGGAGGAGTGCAGGAGCAGGAGGAGTGCAGGAGCAGGAGGAGTGCAGGAGATGTTGATTGGCAATTAAAAGCAGCAGTATGTTACAGGCCGGGAACAGACATGCAACAAATCCTAAAACGTGTAATTCTATTAATGTGCATATATTGCTACACCATACCAATCCCTGCTAATATCCCCCGTATCCCTTATTTTGATTCACCCTTCCTGTGTTTCGCGATTAGCTAAGATCCAAGATAAGCTGCGATTTTTACAAGCGGTAATAAGTACAACGGGCCATATTGACAATCTTAATACTAATAAAAATGTAGAGCCGGGCTGCTGCTCGCTGTCCGGCTGACCTTGTGCTGTGAGACAGACAGACGCACAGTGAAGCAGACGCCCGGCGGGGTCACCCTGGGCATGGCGCCAAGGTCAATGCCAGCGCCATGGGGGGCACTGGGGGCCCCAGGCTCCCACGCTCATGGATAGAATAGGGACAGGGAATTTGCTGGTTTCAGCCCATGGCCAGCCGGTGCCAGCGCCTCCTGTCCACCCCCCCCGCCATCTGTGCCCTAGACTGTATGCCACTCCCCACCTTCATGAGTACAATCCTAGTCTAGCGCTGCCATCTTCTCGCTGTGCCCCCTTCTTCTGCGTGGGGGTTGGTAGGCCGCTTTTAGAGGGGCGAGGCAGATTCAGACGTATTCCCAAAAGGGGTGGGACTTCGGGGGGGTAGAGGGCGGGGTATATACAGGGCCGGCGGCCATAGCCACCTACGGAGTCAGCTGCAAGCATTACAGATCAGCAGTAGAGAGTAGCATGTCACCAGAGACACCGCTAGGGATTCTGAGCCCCTTGAAAGCATATCATATCGGGCCCCCCCACCAGAGGCAGTTCCAAGGTAAGGCCCCATCTACAGCTTGGGTCAGAACCCTGTCGATCAGCTGGAGTTCTACACTGAAAAGGATAGAATTATAAAATCATCAATAAAGAATGAAAAGTTGTGACGCGTGGCTGTTTTTCATAAAACTATTTACCGATAAACCTGGCATGGAGCCGCAATGATGATCAATATCCAAATTTATGTTATATTGAGGCCACACTGTAGTCAATGTACTCGTAAGAAATGGCCTGGATCCAGACCTGCACCTCAGCAATAGTGATATGATGGACCGTGACACGCCCCTTCTTCACTTTTCCCCTCACTTGCCTTCCCTTATGCCAGCACTGGTGCAGAAAGCTATGCGAGAGAGAGATACACTTGAAAGAAATTTTTCCTTGTGTAACTATCTTTCATTGGCTGAAAGGTCCCTTTTTTGACTAATTATTGTTTATCTTTCAGTCGCATGTTAGCTCTTTACAGCCAATCAATCAGACTTTAGACTTAGATTTTGAGTAGGAGGGTAAACCTTCTTACTCCATCTTCTATTTTTTTACCCATTCTCTACTCATTTCCCCACTCTTTCTGTCTGCCTCTCCCATTAGGAGACGGAGGATCACTCCATCCCCCGCATCTCTGCCACCTCAGTGTGGCTAACACCTGTTTCCTTATTCTTCCCAACAATGAAGAGTAACATTGACAGTAATACTCAGAGTATACCTGAGTGTGGGATTGTGGAGATAAATTTGACCCCCAGACTAACTGGACTGTTTCCATGGGGTTTTCTGTGCCCCCACTGGCTGCAGGGAGATGGTGAACAATGTGTAACAAGATGTACTTTTTGGTTTATGTTAATGAAGCACATTAACTAGTTGCGTGAAATTGTGGCCCAAACCTCTTTGCCATGCTTACTGAAGCAAAGGTGACCTCCAAATGCTCTTGGCTATTATGAGGAGTTTTTAAAATTCTCATCCCATGTTCAACTGTAAGACGTGCAGAGATCCCAGGATCTGCTTGTCGGTGTCCATCACTCTCTTGACTTGAGTGTTTTGCAATTTGTATCTGTCAGCCAGACGCCCAGGATATGAGCCTGAATTAGCCCTCTGTGCAGCGAAGTGTCCATCTATCTGTCGATCCTACCTACTCCATGGTAATTTCTTTGTTTGCTTGTTATGTGCCGGTTAGTCCAGTCTCACTCGCTGAGGAAGTGGTGTGTGTGTATGTGTGTGTGTGTGTGTGTGTGTGGGGGGGGATAGTGTCAGAATGTAAGCAGTGTCAGTGTCAGTGTGTGTGTTCTGCGAGCAAAAGAACAAGCCGTATATGACACTCATGTCCATAGTCTTCTTCGAAACCTGTAATCATACTCTTATTAAAGTGCATCTAATGAACTTTTTTTATGTCGATGTCACCCACATTCGTCTTCGGTTCCCATTCCCTACTCAGTGTCTCTGCCTTAAATTTCTCTGAATTACGGTTACAGATTTACGACAACACGTCGACATTCTGCCAGCATATGGTTTGGCAGCAGAGGTTTGGCATTCTGTCTGAATCTAGGGGGACCCTTGCAGGCGCAGGTGCATTTATATTGCCTATGAATATTTATTAATTTATGTATTTATTTACAGTAATTCTCCGTTGCCAAGGGTGAGAGTGCACACATACCTAGTATAGTGAAAAGAACCGCAGTTATTTATTTGTAAATATTACCAATGGGAAAATGAATCATTTTGAAAGTACAAATTTCCTAAACAAACTTCCTCTTTCTGTATAAGTTGTCATTATCTCAGCGCAAGGGTATTATCATACTGTAGCACACATTGTGTGGTTATTTTCTTTGGTTGTTTTTCTCTTCTGAAATACGTGACGTGATGACACTTGAGCTAAGGGTAGAATTACACACATTGCTGGAATCAAGTCAACTGGACGATGCAGATGTGAGGTTACAGGTATCAAGCGCCTCCTGTTTCAGAGTCATAGAAGGCCAAAAGGCCACTACCTGTTACCAACTTACCACCATGGGCTTTATGTATGTGTAGCAATGTTCCGTTTATTGATTTACTCACTTTATCAATAAGTAAATGTACAATTAGATTTTGTCGCAATAAATTATTTAAATGAAAACGATACATTATTTAAATGACAATGATACGGGGGTGTCGTCACAGTAAGTGGAGAACGTCAAGACATGTTCCAGCTTGTCTCTTAGCAACAACAAAATATAGCAAGCATCAATAACAAAATAATGACTATGTGCGCATCTACTAGGGGGTATAATTTATTAATAGAGGAAACTTTTCAAATACCTCAGGCAAGCGTGACTCGCCTTATTAATTAATGTATTTGGTTATTTTTGAAATGCATCTACCTGCACCCCTAAAGTATTATAATTTTACTTTTTAGAAATAGATATGTCTGGCAAAGCAAACGAGTTTCCAGTGCATAACACGATCAATTCAGGCCACCACAATCACTAAATGCCACCCCGCAATAACTTACTAGTCAACAGTGGAATCTTAAACTTCATGGGTTACAAAAGGAGTGTCATTCACCTAAGGTCACATGACATGCATCAATAAGGAATATAATCAGTTTTTATTAGGGGGTGGTACAGTGACCTCACACCTTTAGCGTTGGGGGTTTCAGTCCTACCTCCATTCTGTGTTTGTGTGCATATTCTCCCCATGCTACATGGGACTCCTCCAGGTACTCTGGTAATCACTCTCAGTCACCACAAAGGCAGGCATTTAGGCTATCTGGTGTCTCTAAATTGCCCTTAAAGTAAGACCATGTACATGTGACCTGAAGTGGACCAGCAGCCCTTCCAGCCTTGTGGCCTATGCTTTCTGCGATAGGCTCCAGGCCTCCCTATGACCTTTACAAGAATAAGGTGATGGATAGATGGCTAAAAAATCAATTGGCAGTGGTTTATGTTGGCCATAGTCAGTGTTGGGGAAGTTGCTCACAAAAGTAATCCATTACAGAAGCGGAAAGTTCAGGTCCAGAAAGTACAAATCTAGACCAGTTGAGTACTCTGTGAATGTGACTTTTTATACTCACCTGTTGATTGAAACAAAACCTTGGTCTGGATTTGTACTTTCTGGACCTGAACTTTCCACCTCTTTCTGTAACAGATTACTTTTGTGAGTATCTTCCCCAACACTGGCTATAGTAATGTTAAATTCAATGCAACTTGAAACTAATCTAAAGAAGCAGGTGCTATAGTGTTTGAAATCATAGTGCGACTGTGGTGTTTCTTTAAGTAAAGGTATAATTGATGTTGGATTTCAACTTTTGTTCGCTGAAATCTGGGTTGACGTAAAGCATTAAGTACGCCAGAAAAAATGCGCTCGCTCCCTGATTCTATAATTATTCCGCGCTAGTAAGTGCGCGTTCACGGATGGGCGCGCGACACCAAGATGAAAAGCTCACCGGCAGCCGGTGTGAGGAACCGCCATCGGAGCCGCCAACGTCCGGGATGCCCTTAGCTGGCAGTGATACAGATTGCGGCGGGGCAGAGACTCCCCCTGGCCGCCCGCCCCCGAAGTGCTACGAGATGGTAATCATATTTGCGTCCTAGTGTCATCCGCGTTTGCCAGCGTCTTACATTAGACTCCCTAAACAGCAGTTCAATTCATATAATTAAAACAGCAAACTAGGTCGACGATAATAAACTAAAGATAAGAACCAGCCCTCATATGAAATAACGCTTTATTAACAGTCTCTTACGACCAGGTCCTTAATAGTTTTTCTTATGTTTTTGTTTCCTAATTAATATGTAGCGCTGTAGCTCTTCCGTTTATTTTCTTCCGCGCGCATACTGGATTTTGTTCGCTTGGCGCGTGCGGCGCGGGTTGTCACTTGCAGGGCGGGTTATTTTCGCGGTCGCAGATGTTTGTGACAGCTCAAGAGGCCCTGCACACCCGGCTACTCCTAGCTGTCTGTTAACATCGGGCCAGTGATTTATAAAAAGGGCACTCTACTTTCCTACACGTCCCCTTACCTTTTCCTGCAGTTTGCATGTAGTTTTGTTTGTGGATGTGCAAGTGAATGTGCGAAAAAAAAAATCATGCATTTCTATGGGCTAACTTAATATTGTTTATAGTCAGGCCGTAGCCAGGATTTTTAAAATACCGAGGTAAGAGTATTAGCTATTCCTAGTTGTGCCCTGTAATGGATCTTCCAGTTGCCGAAAAAATACTGGATACTTGACCTTGGTAGCCTTAGTGGTAGATATGTTTATAGTGTCCAGTGTTGGGGAAGTTACTCACAAAAGTAATCTGTTACAGATAGTTCAGGTCCAGAAAGCTGAAATCCAGACCAAGGTTTTGTTTCAACCAAACAGTTGTGCATAATGAATCGCTGTCACACTGTACTCAACTAGTTGGTTGAAACAAAACCTTGGTCTGGATTTCTACTTTCTGGACCTGAACTATCTGTAACAGATTACTTTTGGGAGTTGTGAGTATCTTCCCCAACACTGATAGTATTCATCTAATATTTATATTTCTGACATTAAAATTATATTTGCACTGTGAGCTGCCCAAGCTAAACATTTACGATTAAAATGTGGTGCTTTATGCCTCTTATTTGCTCTGGCTTCCTTCATCTTCTTCCCTGACCTCCCTCCCCCATCGTTCGTCTCAAACTCCAGTTTAATTAGGTGGCTCCCACTGATTTTAGCAGCCAGAAACTGAACCTGAAAACAGGCCTGATAATGACCTTCTCCCCACGCAGTGTTCAGGGAGCCCTACACAGTGCGAGTGGCAGACCAGCGCTCCATGCGAGGCAACGTGGCTGTCTTCAAGTGCCTCATCCCAGCCGCCGTGCAGGAGTACGTCAGCGTGGTGTCCTGGGAGAAGGACACAGTCTCTATCATTCCAGGTAGGGACACTTCCTGGCTGCAGGCTGGGTAGGTGGGGCGAAGGATCAAAGGGCGTCTGTCAAAGAAGAACAATGACTACGGGTGCCGTTACATGACTGTCATTAGGATAATTGTGGGCTTGGCTTCATGAATCATCCACTCAGGCTGCTCACCTTCTGCTACCTGCTTGACCAGAGCTGTCTCAGTGTAGCAGGTGGCCTCATTGTTTTGGGAGCGTGCAGGTCATTAGGTCTCATTCTTCCCTACATTCCTCTAAGTAAGCGCCTCGTGCAGTTACAGTGTAAATATTTTAAGATCCTTTAATTGAGATTTCAGACAATAAAAACACATTTTAAGCATAAATCTTAAATGTTTTGCAGAAAAAAATGCATATTATCAGTTAGTTTGCTTTTATTTTGTTTTTCTCTATTAGAATTAGAATTTAGAATTTGGTATCAGTGGTCATTGTTGACACACCACAGCACACAGTGCACAACAACGAAATGTGTCCTCTGCATTTAACCCATATGTGACATCGTGACATAGCAGGGGGCAGCTAATTCAGCACCCGGGGAGCAGGGCTTGGGGGCGGTACCTTGCTCAGGGTACCTCAGTGGTGCCTTATTACTTATTACTTGGCAGTTTAGAAAGATTAGTTTGGCAGATCCGTACCACACAATTTAAAAATGTATGTAAACTGAGGTTAAGTAACAAATATTGTAGTGGCAGTATATGTCAGCAAAATGTGATTTATTGTGTGCTTGCACAGTATAGAAAGCTGTGTTATTCTATATGATTATGCTATCTTGTGTTTTGCATTATTGTGCGTAAGTGTTGGCAAAGCTTCTGTAGAAAATCCAAGAATGTTGAAACCACCTAGGTCAGAATTTTCTGCCCTGCATTGCCAAGTCAGCGCTCCCAGAGTGTAAACGCCACGTGACCATCTATTGATCCAGCCAGTCCATCGGCGGGAGCTGTCCGCGTGTGTGTATGTGTGTGTGTCTGAGCGTGGGTGGGGGATGGAATGGTGATTCCTCAGACTATCGATCGGGGTTGCCCCTGGGTCTCCCTCTTGTTTGTCGCTGATCCGTCTACTTGAGCCGTCAGATCCAGGAACCCTGAGTGTCAGCCTGGGGCTGTGGCTGAGAGCTGGAGGAAGGTAGCTCTGCACTTCTGACTGAAGAAAATGGGAGGGTGGTCAAAGGTCAAACCAGGATGGTATGCTCGGGAGTTATGGATGTAGCCAGCGATCTGCTGTAGTCCTATTATAAACTGCCTTTACATATACATGTAAAGTATAATATTTTTTATTATAATACATTACTTTTCTGCATTATATCTGATGACTTTTCTAAGAAGCACACACGTATTTCTCTGTGTCCTCAGTTACAGCCTGCTGAACAGCCTTTCCGTCTATGTGTTCCGCCAAAACAAATCCACATTACCTACATAATTATCGTAATACACGGAATCCTGACGACCTTCAGCAAAAGTTAGCGTGTCTGCATTAGCGTCATTTCAGGAAGACCGCAGGCATGGTTGCATGGATTAGCATAGATCAAAAGTTTATTTGGGGACTAGTGCATTTCGTGCCAAAACATTTTGCAACAATAAGCTACTTTGCTTGCTCAACAGTTGATATTTAAAAGGAAGAGCTAGAAAGGTGGGTGGCGCTAGGAGGATCAGTGCAATTGGTGGGGGGGCAGCTAGCACTGGATTTTACCACTGGATTACTGCAGCTCTCTGTAGACCGGACTTTTCCTCACTGCCCCAACTTTATTCCTGTATCCCACTTTCTCTGTTGTCCCAATATGAGGCTTCTGGGAACACTAGATCCATCCCCATACCCTGCAATTTGGACCCTATCAGTGATGCCCTTTCTTCTCTTACCGCTTCATCCAGTACGTTCCTTCTGCTCACTGGCTAATCTCCGCATCTCCTCTTCTTGGTAACAGTCATGAATGCGTTCTATGAGCTGGGCAGAATTCTTCTTTATTCCAACCTCCTATCGTGCCTCTCCTCTCCATCCTTCCATCTATCTCTATCTCTCTGTCTTAGAGTACAGGGTGTGCTGTGTTCAGCCCCCCCCCATCTCCCTGCGCTGTCTTCCCACCCTCCCTCTCCCCATCTCTTTTTCGCAGTTTGCAGTGACACGCTGCAGCACTCATTGAGACGGCAGCCCTCACTGGAAACAGTGCCACTCATTAGAACATGCAGAACTGATCTACCCCAGGGCCACGAAGCAGCCGGCTCCACTCTCACCTCTCTTTTTTTTTTTAATGATGGCGGAACAGCGTCCTCCCAGTGCCCCTTGAGTCAATACCACCGCCCTCACCTTCCCCTGTCGATACTCCTCTCCCTTCTCTTTCTTATTAGGATACACAAATTTGTCTCATGTGCTCTCACACGCATAACACATAGTGCCAACCTTTACCTGACAATCGGGCCTGATTTTCACCCAAGCTTAAGCAGGTGGATGGTCTCCTTTTTGTCACTTCATGGAGGATTTTTTTTTATTGAAGGGATTTATCAAGCAGGCACTGAGTGGTCGCAAAATGTTTTTAAAAATGTGAGGCACCCCTTGTGAGTAACAGAGAGCCCAAAAAAAGCCCACCTCAGAATCAGGGAAAGGTAGGGGTAAAATTCGGACTGTTTTTGTAGCTCAATATATTTCCATATGATCAATAGTTTATAACCTACATTCGTAAAATGTGCCAGATTTCAGGAATGAATCCCTGATCCTGCTGGGGGTTTGATGGGAGTGGGGGCAGCTGTGCAGCTCAATACACAGTTTGTCAGGATAGCCTCAGGGACAGGAACTGACCAGTGAAGCATAGAAAACAGAAAAAGAGACATCCCTTAAATAGAAAGGACAAGGTGGATACAGAATGATGTCTGTAAACAAGCTGTAGGATTTTTCTACATTACTGTTAGATGCGTTATCATTTCTCACAGTAAAGCTATGTGATTCTCATATGTATTTAAAATATCATTTCATGTATGTCTCTGCGTTTTTGCATGGAGGACTCCTCATATAAATTTGGACAAGAGAGCTTTCACTCTTTTCCAGGCATTTTTTCTTAATTGTATGACCAAATAACGACAAGGATGTGGCACCCCTTTGACGGAAGGATTTGTGAATCACCTTTTTTAATAGCCTTGTAACGGGTGTTCTAAGTTGTAAGCCGTGTGGGCTTGTGTGCATCTGATATGAGGAGATTGGGTTTGGCATTCCATTACTTCTGCGTCTGTTCCTGCTGGCTTTTTTATGAGGCACGCTTGTTTTATTGTAGCTGTGGGGGGCAGGACTGTTTAAACGGTATATAACGAACAAAACCTATTCAAAAACACTAATTTCTGAAAAGCGGAATATAAATTATAAAATATCGTGCACCATGTGAATATTGGCTTATGAGACTGTGTATTCTTTGTATGTTTGTGTGTATGCCAAATTGTGCATTTATGCATAGATATCAGTGCTTGTATCAGTGTGTGTATCAGTGCATGTCAGTTTAGTCAGATCCATCTTCTCTTCTCTGGGGTGAAAACAGTGTGAATTTTATCCTATTGCCATAGCAACTGGTACAAAACAGCACTGGGAATGGAGAAGGTGCGAGGACGTGTCGCTGTGTGATTTTTATTAGTGTATTACTGCCGTTTCTGCTTCATCCCGCTCAGCACAGTGTGCGCGCACACATGCATACACAGAATCCTCCCGCACTGGATTCCTACCACACTGCACACTACTCGTTCATACTACACACTGCAGTGAAATTTCATTTAGAATAAGAAAAACTTTAAACAAGAAACATCTCAACTGACCCTTGCAAACTGACCTTTAACTCCTGCTAATGGAGGTTCTTTCTTTCACTCCGCCGTCCGTGTAGGCATGTCCTGACAAGCTTCTGGTGGCAAAACGTGAGACTGACACATGGGCACTATCATGCACCTGCACACACAATGACATCCACACACATGTGCACATAGCCACCACTGTAGCTCCAACCCTGGAAACCATCTTGTCTTTTTCCCAACTGGAGGCAACTGCATTTCCTATCCTTCATTTGCTCCCCTGTTCTCTCCACTGTCCTCTGTCACTGGGCACAGAGGGCTTCCAGTAGGGTAGAGAAAGGGCAGGGGGAATGTGTGGAGTGCAGCATCAGAGAGGGCAAAGCTGAGATGGGGGGGGGGGCATGGGCATGTGGGTAGATGAAGACGTGTGGTGCTCTTGGGCCTCGGGGTTACCCTGGGCTAGCAGGCGAGCAGGCTGGGCTTGGGGGGGGGGGAACTCCTTCAGTGGTGTGCGTCTGCTTTCAGGCCCTGTCGCCCCCTTCACCCTTTGAGTCTGCTAGCGGTTTCTTCATAATGGAACTGGGATGAACTGGCAAGATACCCCAGTGTGGTGAGATGCAGCATGGGCTGTTTTGTTTACTGATGTAAAAGCTAAGGGATTTATTAACTACTGCTATGTAAATGCGTATTTCACAAACTTTTAAGAAGAGATGCTTAGACCTGTCAGAGAGATTTAAAGTATGTTGGCAATGTATGGCGAGATATTTAGTAATAGTTGAAGGAAGCATTCATAAATAAATATGTAAAGCATTCATGTGTGTGTTTAAAATGGAGGAATGCGAGAGGAGAACTGGAAAGGGTAGCAGATCTGATGCTGGGGAAAAGATGGAAAGGAAGGGCAGGTTGGGAAAAAAAGAGGGAGCGGAATGAAGGGAGGGGAAAGACTGCAATACAGCGGCAGGGAGAGGGTTGCTGTGCGAGGAGAATTTCAATGGCGCTCCAATCAGGCAGACAGGCTCGTTAGTTCAGGGAACATTTGCATACCGCAGAGGCACATTCATTTCGGTGTCGCTCGACGAAGACAGTTCAGATTCCTGTCTTATATTTATTTATACGCCGCGATGTTCAGTATTCATCGGCGCTCTGCGCTAAACCATATGCTGTGATTCAGGGCACGCGATGTAGCTTTAAATATTTACATACTTAGGCGCCATCTTAGCTGGCCGGTTTGATTCTGAACTTGCTTATTCATAGCG